TAAAAGATAGTAAGATTAAAAAAATAAAGAAATTAAAATAAACAAAATAAAATAGTGATAAAAAAGTAAAAAAAAAAAAAAAATTAGAGGTGCACCAGAAAGGAAATGTTAAAACCGAAATGAAAAATAAAATGTCAGGCCAAAACCGAAAATGTTTTTTTTTCTAACCTTTTTTTCTAGCCGTCTGAGGGCGTGCGGTGGGGGGGCGCAGAAATGCACCTTCACCTGTGTAAGCAAAAATCCTTGCACTGGCCCTGATCCTGCATTATATAGCACATTATACAAAGTGAATACATCAATTCTACCTGGAAAACCTGCATCCATCCACATCAGGACACACCACTACACCACTTGGCATTGTTTCATAACTTTGGCTTCAGAATGTGAACCTTACCAAGCCATCTAAATGTCCCAGAAATCAAACTTTCTCTCTGCAGACTTTATTGGAAGTTAGACCTGCCACATGAGGAAACAACGATCATGTTATAAAGCTACATTTCACAGTTCTTTTACGTGTGCCATTGAATACAACTGTAGTTCTGTACTCTGTCTCGAGAGGAGGAAAAAAAAGACGCAGCGTTATTCTTGTCTGCTCTGGCACTCCCCAAAAAAAATCCGTCCTGCAGCAACTGGAGTGGGCATATGCTATTTTTCCATTCACCTTTCAGCAGAAGGACAAACATCATCAGACTGTTAAAATGCATTTTATTCCAAAACATAAATGTGTTTCCAGGTAAACAGGTGTATAAACGATTGTATATGAAAATGGTTAATCAGAGATTCTAGATGGATGGATGGACAGATGAATGGATACAGGATGGATAGAGAAACAGACATACAGATATATTGAAGCTGATAACATTGATATCCATGAAGCTTTGAAATAAACCCAACCGTTATTTTAAGATTCAGTTGTCCTTCATTAAAATCAAAGCACCCCAAAACAGAGCACATTCTGGAAGATATTTCAATAGATGGATAGATAAAGAGAAAGAGTCATATTTTTAAAAAATGATTACTCCTATGATGATAATAGATAGATAGATAGATAGACAGACAAGCAGACAGACAGACAAATAGATAGATAGATAGATAGATAGATAGATAGATAGCCTCCTATTTAAAAAAGTGATTAGTAGTTAGATAGATAGACAGGTAGATAGTTGGATACCTTCTTTTTTTAATATTACTCATTAGATAGATAGATTGCTGGATACCTTCTATTCTAAAATATTATTCCTATGATAGATAGATAGATAGATAGATAGATAGATAGATAGATAGATAGATAGATAGATAGATAGTTGGATACCTTCTTGTTTAATATTACTCATAAGATAGATAGATAGATAGATAGATAGATAGATAGATAGATAGATAGATAGATACCTTCTTGTTTAATATTACTCATAAGATAGAAAGATAGATAGATAGATAGATAGATAGATAGATAGATAGATAGATAGATAGATAGATAGTTGGATACCTTCTTGTTTAATATTACTCATAAGATAGATAGATAGATAGATAGATAGATAGATAGATAGATAGATAGTTGGATACCTTCTATTTTAAAATATTACTCCTATGACAACAGATTGATATGTGTCACTCATGTGAATCTAGACAGGTATATAAATAGACAGACAGGAATACACCTCTCTATAACTAGATAGATTACCTTCTTTTTCTAAATGTGACTACTATAACCTAAGGTAGATAAACAGATAGATACATTATTTTCAAAATATTACTTCTATGAACCTAGACCGATATATATAAAAATAAATAACTGCATACTTTGTTTGCAAAATATGACCCCTACAGAGTAGAAGGAGTTAGAGGAACAACAGCAGCCAGACATGCCTTATTCACACAGCAAAATAACTGATAAGGGACTGGCAAGGGGCCAGTACAGAGGGGAAAGAGGGGGGTCTTGCTGTGAACTCTTGACAGCCAGAGGGGCACCCAGACTCCAAGAGAGATCTCAGCAGACAGACAAACACGTAAGCCAAACATGTCAGCAAACCCAAACACATTCAAAGATAAACCTGTACAAATAGAAACATCAAACTGAGAGATATTACAGCAGCAAGTAAAAAAAAAAAAAGACCAAACAAAACACATCAGCCCATTTAGACAGACACAGACAGACACATGAATCCTGGAGCAGACACATGCTGGTGGCTCTGGGAGGAAATATCAATTGCACTTCCTACAAAAAGAAAGAAAAGAAGAAAAAAAAAGCCAATCCCGAATGTGAAAAAGGTTGATGTGGCAGGAATTTAGGAGGGAGGCGTGCACACATGTATGAGCCCAGCAATCCATACCTGGTTGTGCAGGAAGCCTGGTGCACATGGCAGAGCAGGCTGACACAGGAGACACTGCGCTCAGCTCTAAGAGGGCACTTTAGGAGCCAGACAGGGGTGAAGAAATGTTACAGGACCACCAGGCTACAGAAAGACACACAGACACACCCACACACATACACACACACACACAGATAAAGTTCCAGCAATGTTCTCACATGTCAGCCGTCCATGAGAGTAGAGGCACATTCCCAGACACATTGTAACGCATCCAGACACACAGACAGACAGGTGAAGCAACAGTAAAACAAAAGTGGCCAGGCACAGGGAAAGAGAAGAGCCAAGCCAGCGTGAGGGGGACTTAGAGGAGAAGGAGGGGACAAGAGAAGGGGGGAAATAAAAAAGTGGAGAGGAGGGGGCAGACAGATTTGTCCAATTCATAGACACAGACC